TTATTTATCTATTAACTTATGTGCCTCTCTACTTATCTGTTAACTTATGTGCTTATCTATTTATCTATTAACGTATGTGCCTCTTTACTTATCTATTAACTTATGTGTTTATCCATTTATTTATTAACTTATGTGCCTTTCTACTTATCTATATATCTATTAACTAATGTGTTAATCTATTTATCTATTAACTTATGTGTTTATCTATTTATCTATTAACGTATGTGCCTCTCTACTTATCTATTAACTTGTGTGTTTATCTATTTATCTATTAACTTATGTGCCTCTCTACTTTTCTATTAACTTATGCGCATCTCTACTTTTCTATTAACTTATGTGTTTATCTACTTATCTATTAACTTATGAGCCTCTCTAGGTATTTATTTATATTATGTGCTACATTCATTTATTATTTATTTATATATTTATTTATCGATTAACCTATGTGTTTATCTATTCATCTATTACCTTATGTGTTTATCTATTTATCTATTACCTTATATGTTTATCTACTACCTATTAAAATATGTGCTTATCTATTTATCTATTAACTTATGTGTTTATTTATTTATCTATTAACTTATGTGCTTATCTATTTATTTATTAACTTATGTGTTTATCTACTTACCTATTAAAATATGTGCTTATCTATTTATCTATTAACTTATGTGTTTATTTATTTATCTATTAACTTATGTGCTTATCTATTTATTTATTAACTTATGTGTTTATCTATTTATTTATCAATATATGTGCTTATCTATTTATCTTTTAAAGTATGTGGTTATCTATTTATCTATTAACTTATATGTTTATTTATTTATCTATTAATTTATGTGCCTCTCTACTTATCTATTAACTTATGTTCTCTATTTATATATCAACTCAAGTGTTTATCTATTTATCTTTTAACGCATATGTTTATCTGTTTATCTATTAAATTATGTGTTTATCAATTTAGCTATTAACTTATGTGCTTCTCTATTTATCTATTGATTTACGTGTTTATTTATTTATCTATCAATATGTACTTATCTATTTATCTATTAACTTATGTCCTTATCTATTTTTCTATCTCCTTGTGTGTGTGTTTATCTATTTATCTATTAACTTTTGTGTCTATTTATTTATCTATTAACTTTATGTGCCTCTCTACTTATCTGTTAACTTATGTGTTTATATATTCATCTATTACTATTTATCTATTAACTTATGTGCTTCTCTATTTATCTATTAACTTATGTGTTTATCTATTTATCTATTAACTTATATGCCTCTCTATTTATTTATTAACTGATGTGTTTATCTATTTATCTATTAACTTATGTGTTTAGCTATTTATCTATTAACTTATGTGCCTCTCTATTTATCTATTAACTTATGTGTTTATCTATTTATCTATTAACTTATGTGTTAATCTATTTATCTATTAACTTATGTGTTTATCTATTTGTCTATTAACTTATATGTTTATCTATTTATCTATTAACTTATGAGCTTATCTATCTATCTATTAATGTATGTGTTTATCTATTTATCTATTAAGTTATGTGTTTATCTATTTATTTATTAACTTATGTGTTTATCTATTTATCTATTAACTTTGTGTTTATCTATTTATCTATTAACTTATGTGTTTATCTATTTATCTATTAACTTATGTGCCTCTCTACTTATCTGTTAATTTATGTACTTATGTATATGTATTTATCTATTCATCTATTTACTCATATGTTTGTCTATTTATCTACTAAGTCATGTGTTATCTATTTAGCTATTAACTTATGTTTTAATATGTTTATTCATTAACTTATGTGTTTATCTATTATATATTAACTTATGTACCTCTCTACTTATCAATTAACTTATGTGTTAATCTATTTATCTATTAACTTATGTGTTTATCTATTTATCTTTTAACTTATGTGTTTATCTATTTATCTTTTAACTTATGTGTTTATCTATTTATCTATTAACTCATGTACTTCTCTATTTATATAACAACTCATATTTAATATGTTTATTCATTAACTTATGTGTTTATCTATTATATATTAACTTATGTACCTCTCTACTTATCAATTAACTTATGTGCCTCTCTACTTATTCATTAACTTATGTGTTAATCTATTTATCTATTAACTTATGTGTTTATCTATTTATCTATTAACTTATATGTTTATTTATTTATCTATTAACTTATGTGCTTATCTATTTATCTATTAATCTATGCGTTTATCTATTTATCTATTAACTTATGTAATAGATAAACACATCTATTAACTTATGTGTTTATCTATTTATCTATTAACTTTGTGTTTATCTATTTATCTATTAACTTTTGTGTTAATCTATTTATCTATTAACTTATGTGCTTATCTATTTATCTATTAACTTATGTAATAGATAAACACATCTATTAACTTATGTGTATATCTATTTATCTATTAACTTTGTGTTTATCTATTTATCATTTAACTTATGTAATAGATAAACACATCTATTAACTTATGTGTATATCTATTTATCTATTAACTTTGTGTTTATCTATTTATCATTTAACTTATGTGCCTCTCTACTTATCTGTTAACTTATGTACTTCTCTATTTATCTATGAACTCATGTTTTTATCTATTCATCTATTTACTCATATGTTTGCCTATTTATCTATTGACTCATGTGTTATCTATTTAGCTATTAACTTATGTGTTTCTATATTTATTAACTGATCTATTTATCTATTTATCTATTTATCTATTAATTTATGTGCTTATCTATTTATCTATTAACTTATGTGTCTATCTATTTATCTATTACCTTAATTGTTTATCTATTATCTATTAACGTATGTTTATCAATTTATGAGTGTATTTATCTTCCTACCTCCTTGTGTGCTTATCTATTTAGCTATTAACTTATGTGCTAATCTATTTATCTATTAACTTATGTGCTTATCTATCTATCTATTAACCTATGTGCTTATCTCTTACACTATCTACTTATGTACTTATCTTTTTAACTATCTACTTGTGCTTATCGATTTATCTATCAATTTATGTTATTTATTAACTATTTATTTGATTGTGTGTTGATCTATTTATTTATTTATTTATTTATGTGTTTATCTATTTATCTATCTCCTTATGTGCTTATCTATATATCTATCTACTTATGTGCTAATCTATTTATTTGTCAACTTGTTGTTTACGTATTTATCTATCTCCATGTGTACTTATATATATTTATCTATCTCCATATGTGCTTATATATTTATTTATATACTTACGTGCTTAGATAAACACACAAGTTGATAGATAAATAGATAAGCACGTAAGTATATAGATAAATATAGATAAATATACCTCACACGATACAAGAAGTCCTTTGTTGGCCAAACTTTAAGTACCTCGTAAGCTTGGCGCACAGATTCTAGAAGTCGCCAGCTGTGTGTTAAGAACAGCTGGTGTTTTAGCGCTCGGGGTGCCAGACGATCTAACACGAGATCAGCTACTGACAGAGCTGACATTTAAATAAATTAACTAACTACAATTAAGCTAGCATTGATTTATGGCACGAAGGCAAAGCTATTGAGAAATAGATAACATAACGTAGTAGTATAAAAAAAATAGGGGTGCTATGAATAAAGTAAGGGTATTTCAGTTGTCAGAGAGAGAGAGAGAGAGAGAGAGAGAGAGAGAGAGAGAGAGAGAGAGAGAGAGAGAGAGAGAGAGAGAGAGAGAGAGAGAGAGAGAGAGAGAATGAATGAGAGAGAATGGTTTAGTTTAGTTTAATTCCATTTGTTACAATGGATATTCTTGGTGTGACATAGTGTCTGTTTCATCCCCTGTTATCCCCTGTGTACAAGGAATGGCCTCGGTTACTATCCACTGGCGGCAAGGGATTTGAACGTTTGATTGCTAGACGAGATCGCTACCGCTGCACCACACACCACACAAGAGAGGGGGAGAGAGAGAGAGAATGATAGAGAGAGAGAGAGAGAGAGAATGTGTGTGTGTGTGTGTGTGTGTGTGTGTGTGTGTGTGTGTGTGTGTGTGTGTGCATATATACATACATATATATATATATATATATATATATATATATATATATATATATATATATGTATAAATATATATACACATATATATACATATGTATGTATTTGTATATATGTATGTATATATATAGCGCCCCCCCAGAATGAAAATTGAAGGGGCGAGAGTATACCCCCCCCCCCCAAGAAATTAGTTTTACACGTTCACACAGACTAATAAAAATATACTATATCTCATTTTACCAGAATAGGTATCACACTTACAGTAGACATGTTGGTTTCCATGAACCTGATTTATTAAAAGTATTGTATAGGTATAGTGGAGTATAGTATAGTAAAGGACCGGCTTTCCTGGGCTCATGGACGCCTAACTAGAGGAGTTCGAATGGACATGAAATCTATTTTTTTACAGCAAATAGCTCCCTCCCTACCCCACCACAACATAACACAGTTAACACACACATAGATTGTGGATATATTACTTCTGGGTATTATTTATTTAACGCTGAAATGAATACACTGATGTGCTAAGTATATAATTATGTGAGAACTGTGCCATTCGCATGTTGTTGTGTGAAAGGCGCTTTTTGTCTGAAAGCCCCCCCCAGTCATACATTCGCTCCGCCGCTTATGTGTGTATATATATATATGAGTGTGTGTGTGTGTGTGTGTGTGTGTGTACACATATATATGTATGTATGTATGTATATATACACATGTAGGCATATATGCATATATTATATTGTGTGTGTAACACAAATTCTTGCATAAGTGCCAGTTAACGCAACCAATGACTTGTCCCTTTCCTTCCCTTTCAATCCGGTACGTCAAATACCTGCTAATAACCCCCCCCCCCAACCACCACCAACCCTCCCTACAAAGCAAACAAACAAACAAGAAAACACAAACAGACAAACCAACCAACAAAAAAACAACCGAGCCAGACCTGCGTGGCGAACTGCGGGTAGTCCTGGGTCTTCCAGTGCCAGAAGTCCTGCGTGAGTGCCAACAGGTCCGGCGTGGGCGTGGAGTGGGTCAGGGTAGGGGAGGCTGCCACCCACACGCCGCCCATCTGCGCCCACAGACACAGGAGGATGGGCGGCCACCAGGATCTCCGCAGGGAGGTCATCTCGGCCTGAGGGAAGAAGGAGATAGTGATGATGATGATGATTGTGATGATGATAGTAATAATAGTAATAATAATAAGGACAATTTTAATAGTAATAGTAATAATGACAATATTAATAGTAATGATAATACGAATGATAGTGATGATAATTATATTTGGTAATTTTTATTGTAATGATGATAATGATAGAAAAAAATAATAACGATAACATTTACAACGATAAGGATAATAACATTATCGTTAATGATGATAAAAATAATGCTAAAAAATATTAATGGTGATAATAATGATGATAATGATAATGATAATAATGATAGAATAATGATGATGATAATAATGATAATCATAAAATGATAATAAGATAATAATAGTAAATATAGTAATAATAGTAGATATAGTAATAATAATTATAATAATAATGAAATAATAAAGTTATTTTAGTAATGCTGTTAAAGAATAAAATTGCGTATTCATTTAGTGTGTGTGTCTATATGTCTGTGTCTTTGTGTATGTATGTTAAAATGCACACGTGTACTTTTTTTTTCCTTACTCCCTCCAATCATGTAACCCCCCCCCCCCTTATCCTCTCGATAATTCCTCGACCTCCGTGACCTTCAGTAGCCATTTCGACCCGCCCGTGCAAGCTGCAAGGTTGCACGAGAGAGGATGATCTCATCGGCCGCCGTGGTTTCATTATTTTGCAATCTCCGAAAATTTACGCGCAGTGAATTTTCAAAACTCCCAACACGGATCCGACGCCTGTGACTGGCTGAGCGGAGCATGTTGATCGACGCTGATTGGCTGAGGATAAGGCTGTTGATGAATGCTGATTGGCTGAGGAGGAATAGGAGGTTACTAAATATGTCTGAGCGTTTTTTTTTTTCTTCTTTTTTAATGTGTTTTGCTTTTGAATTTATTTGTTTTGGATTGGTTTGTTTCAGTCGTTTACGACTTAGTTTCGTTTATTTCATTGTTTATTCAACTATATATTATCTGTTAACTATTTATTTTAAAATCTGGGATCGGATAAAAAAAATTATCTAAATTTAAATTTTTCTCCCATTTGTTTTTCTATTTATCTCTTCATCTGACAATTAAAATATTTAAATATGGTTTCCGTTTGTCATTTGCTTACCTGTTTACGTATTTAACTTTCTGCCTAGTCATATCTCACTTATACATTTTTTTTCTATTCGAAAAATACATATATTAAATATCTATCTATCTATCTATCTATCTATCTATCTATCTATCTATATATATATATATATATATATATATATATATATATATATATATATATATATATATATAACACACACACACACAAAAAAAAAAAATCAGTGTATCCATGCATCTTTCTGTCTATCAAACTGGATATTTAAATTTGCTTATCCAAGTGAGTATTCCATCTAAGTTTCATTTTTTCTATTTGCCTGCCTTTTGAATATTCATAATGAAAACCTCGTTTCTGTCGATATCTAATGCCCTGATTCTTAACTGCTGTTCATCGATTATATATTTACTCATATATCTATTTATCTATCAGTAGGAATATTCAATTCATTATCATTATCATCATCATTGTTACATATCAATTTTTCTATTAATATAAATATTTAATCTGTTATCAGTATCATCATCAACGTTACATATCTATTAATCTATTGGTATGAATATTTAATTCATTATCATTATCATCATCATTGTTATATATCTATTTATCTATAATTCTGAATAATCGTATGATTTTAGTTCCTTATCTGTTTATTCATCCACTATTTACTTCATTTTGATTCTTAAATATATATACTTTTGTACTTTGTATATTAGGGAATTACAAAATTTGTGTGTTTTTTTTGGGGGGGAGGAGGGGAGTGTAAATAAATGATTTTGATTTTCGTTTTCATGATTAACAATGTCTGATAGAAGGTAATATACTATCAAACAACGGTTTATTATAGTGGAAAATTATAGATAAGATAGAACAGCTGCGAAAGAAAGATATATATGCATATATATATATATATATATATATATATATATATATATATATATATATATATATATATATATATATACATATATATATATATATATATATATATATATATATATATATATATATATATATATATAAATACATGAACAAATAAATAAACAGCTATATGACTGAATAGGTAAAATAAATGACTAAATATATAACTCGTAGATAAGAAAATAATAAAAAATACTGACAAATGACAAAAGTCATAATAAAAATGAAATAAATTTATATTATTAAACGAATTATAAAGGTAATAAAACGGATTGACAA